AATATTATTAGCGAAATTTGACAGGTCAGAAATTACGAATTACCAGTGCCAATCGATTTTCTTGTGTAATACTAACACGTTTTACAATAGAAGTAGCGACGTTATTGTATATAGCAACGTATAACTAACTCGTATAAACTACTTGTATAAGTGATCTAATTGTCCTGCTCGAAAAAATTAGAAAATTAGAATTGGAAAATTGTAAAAGTACGGTAAACGTCTATAGCATACATGTATCACTTGCCAAATCAATTAATAATATTAATTAGCAAATTAATAATAATGTAAGAATTCTAGTATTTTCTTCATAATTTCGCTAGAACGATTAAAAGAAACTACTACTTTGCTAAAAGAAAAGCCATAAGTTGGCTATTTGAAACTTCTTTCTATCGTTGTATGCATTTGAGTTAATATCGGTTTTATCAATTTATGTACCTAACTGAACTGTATCTAAATAATCAAAAAGTTTCTTACACAAAACTTGGTTTACGAGACCACAAGTGTGACATTTACAGTAACTGTCATAGAAATATTCATGTCGAGCAATTATAGCATTAAACAGTTTAAAACGGGTCTAAAGTCAATCTGCAATACCTCAGCCTCAAGTCAATTTCTAAAGTCAGTCTGCAATCCCCAGAATCTCTAATATCTAAGGTACCGTTGTTCAACCAACTTCAACAACACCGAGGCTACTAATTATCTTCAAAGAAGTAAAAGTGTACAGGGCAACAGAAGCACGTGCCGATATTCTAGATACTAGAGAATTAGCACGCCTCATGCGATGGTTCGTGAACGAGTTATACGTTTTCAGACCTTCTTATTTGAAAATATACGTGTAAATTCGTCGCGTTGAAGCGTATGCACGGCGCTGTGTGGCTATTCGCTGTCCGCGCCAGAGTATTCTTGCGGCCACGACAGAATACCAAGCATCAGAGCGAACTAAATTGCTATGCAAAGTTTATCTTCAGACGTCAGCCAGAACGGGCCTGTATCGCTTCTTATTTCCTACATGCGATGGTTTTCAAAGTTGACAGGACACGATCGACACTCCAGAAGATTTCCTTCGCCGCTCTTTTGCGCTTACGACGTTACGTAAGCGATCGCGTACTTTCTATCCCGCTTCAGTCGAGGCTAGATCAACGTTGCACTCCCGATAGCGGGTTTCTTCCAGGCTGATCTTGCGAGCACCTGCTTGCTCATTGATATGCGTTGACCGTTGATTTAACACGCTTGTGAATGAAATCGTTTTTGGTAGATTTTATTATATTTTTATTAACTGCACGATGTCATAACAGTAAAAGAATGTTTAGGAAGCATAAGATACAAATGCAACATGAAACATACGATACAAAATATTGCAGATATACACCAAATATCTTTAATCTCTTCAACTTGATAATCGTGTCTCTATTTCACCAGTGACATCTATAATCACTGAATTGAAAGTTAGTAGAGATAAAACAATTTTAATTCGGTTAATTTCAGTGCCGACAACTTTTGTAATTTGTTTTTTTTTCTTTTTTGAGAGTAATAAAACAACACAAAAGACAGAAGGGGATTTGTAAATAAAAATTTCAGAAATTAAAACTGAAATATATGACAATTGTTGATACGATGCGCACTGCTTTTCTTTTTGTATAATTCCTTTAGATCCCAGAAAAATGTCGTAAAATATGTAGGTCAGGGTTTTCCAATATTTTCTGTAGTTTGTATTCCAGTATCCTTCCTTGACAATATATGGTCGTATTCTAACAGTTCCTATTGAAATCTTACCCAAACGACAACGACTATGGTTCGCTGCTAAAACTTCGAAGTTTCAATAAAAAGATAGGATTCTAATTTAATAGTTCTCCATTCCGCTGTATCAACCCTAATTTTAATTACTGGACACTTGCAGGAGTTAATCTGAGACCACAGGACGCCTGCGAGTTCGAGATATCTCCAGCAAGCACTTTAGTTTTATTGGAAACGATTTCACGGTAATTTTTACGCGTTCTCAGAGCAGGTTTAAAATTCTTCTTCGAGCAGAATGCTAATTTGGTGAATGTTCTCTCAAGAGTTGGATCAGTGTCGCTTACATATCAGCGTTATTATCTTGGTCGTCTTTCTGTCGCACATTGACGACACGCGAGACTGACCATCCTCTTGTGCCAAATTACGTTTCACGTTAGTTTCCGTTCGCGAATTCAACCGCTGGCCTTCCCTCTTTACTGTTAATTGTTCAACTCGTCGGTGAATTCAACCCTTCATCGCCTAATTGCCGTCTATTACCGTCTTAATGTACTATGCGTGAAGATCATCTTTTTAGAGGCAAACAAAACCGATAATTCAACGGTAGTGCTCGTTTTTGACTCTTTTCTTTCCTGATTTTTCTCGCTCTTTGCTTCTTATCGGTTTCTCGTTGACGAATACACGCTTCTGCTTTTTTCAAGCTGCGCGATGCAGCTTTTCACTTATTTGGTCGAATGGTTAAGAGAGATGTAACGACGCTGCGATGCTAATGGACAAACACTCTTTTACATCGCGAAGCAACGTCGACAACGACGTTTTTTATTTTTGCGCAACACGTTTCACCTCCAGATCGCGATGCGTCGAAAACACATTAATGTCACCCACTTTATTAACGCTTTCGCAACCGATGCCTATGTTTTTGCGGCTCTCGAGCCTCCAACTTGCTACTGACGAAACGTGTAGTTTAGCAGGGATATCGAAATTCGTTGTGGTGCTTTTAAGTAATAGGAGCTTTCAAAATTTATTTTAATTTATGGTAATGTAAATTGTTAACCCTTTCATAGTTGATGTTTTATTTTATACTATATCATATATATACAACAGAAAATCGATTACTGCAACGAATTTTTATCCTTTTTATTTACATAAAACGACTTTAGTATTTTCTTATCTTATTTTTCAAAATATTTTAGAATATTTGAAGTTCCCGATGCTTTTCTAAGTAAAGTTATATTATACAAGTTGTTAAGAAGCAACGATTAAATATTTTAAATTGAATGAAATGAAACAAAAATGAAAAACATAATAAACATCAGTTTTCTTGAGTGTTTCGACTTTTCGATAACTAAGAGCAGATGCATTGAGACGAAGCTTTAGTTAGTGTTTGATTAAGTGATTTCCCGCTGATTGGATTCTGTTATGTGAACGAAAAGTCATAGATAATAGGGAGAATCGATAAACCGCAGTTATGGAAATTATTCATTTTCTGATAATAAATCGAAATCAGATAAATGGAGTTCTACTGCAACGTATACGCTGTATATTAGCAAATTATTTTTTACGAGCGCATTATATCTTCTTTCGAAAAATAAATCGTATCGTGGCTTGACAAATTTTCCATTCGAGTTAGAAACCTCGGTGTACTATATATTTTACTATTTGCAATCTTCGAGATCTGAGGTTCCAGCGACTGTAGTATTGCAATAAGCGTTTCTTAAAAATTCAAACCAAGAGCCTTGAACGTGGAATTGCATGTATGTTTTTGATGTAGTAATACGTTTCTCATGAACTAAAATTGGAAATCTCTTACGTAATATTTACGTCTTTTCGCGTCTTATCTCCTTCGTCGCATAATTTATCTCTCGGATAAAGCCGTATAAATATTTCTACGGAATACTTAATTATTCTCTTGCGTTTACACGTATGTACATATTTAGATTAGATTTTAAATGATATATACCATCTTTCGTTAATGAATAACATTCGTATCATCGAAACTAAACGTTCGAAACTAAACGGTTTCCCTACATATTTCAATAAAAGCGAATGAGCAAATCCAACTTATCGTTGTCAGACGATTCAGTACAACAAGAAGAAAAACAGAGGGATGCATGTCGCAATTCTTGTGCAAGTCGAAAGCGTAGACATGGCGTACCGAACGTAACGCGTTAACCTTTCACGGTCGAAGGCCAAGATATTCCTGTCGACGCGTTTCCACCGGCAACGCCTCCATCCAAATCCATTATTCATTACCTCTCGAACACGAATCAAGTAAAACACGAAATTTCGTTAATCGTCGGCTATATAATTCCATTCGATCCCATATACATGTATAACCTATACGTACGTATAATCACCTGAAAAAGGTGAAGTAAAACCACGAAAGTGGATGTCAGGCAATTATCAAACTGATATCGCCGTTAATTAAGCCGCGACGTTCCATTACATTCGACATATCGCGTTAAGCATTTTAACGACGCGAGCATCCAGCGAATTAATAGCCCTTTAAAATTCGAATACGTTGTTTCACGGTATGGCTCGTTCGGTTACGATCTCGTTATCCGCCTCGAATCGCCTCTAATTGCCGTCGTCGAGCTCTCTTTCGTTTCAGTCCCCGTCTGCAAACGCGGCCGTGAACAACCTTGTCGCGAAACAATAATGAGAATCTGTGTAATTGAACATCCTGGTAATTCGCATTCGCGTCCCCTGCGTCATAATAGATTACGTTACCCGACTTAATCCGGCGAAAAGTTGTACATCTAGCGTTCTGAGCGACTGGATTAGCGTTAAATCTCACCGCGGAGAAATCGTGCCTCGAGGAGGAAATTTCATGAGAAGTTTGCGATGCTAGTTTGTTGCCAGGAATCGACTGTGTTCAAAGCGTGGTATTTATTTCTATTATATATTTATTTCTACGCTAAAAGATCGATTTACGGATTTACAGATTTACGGAGGAGTCTCTTTTAACCCTTCGTAGGGCAGCCTGGATCATTTACGTTTGAAGCGAGATTTAACTCGTTACGCTAATTTCTTCGAAATAATCTATTTTTCTTGAAAAAATCTTTTGCTCGTACAACTTAAAGACTGATTGTATAACGTAATAAAATGCTCCGATAAGATTTCAGATTTTTCGAAAGCTTGGAAGAGTAAAGAAGTTAGGCGCGGACACAAACGATTCGGCTTGTCTACGGAAAGTGCGAAAATATGCTTGCCCAATTACCCGTAGAGATTTACAGATGGAGGATCGAAAGAAGGGATTGAAAGTGTTATTCGATAAAGAAACTATCGTAGATATAATCGAATATAAAGATCTTATCTGTAATGTAAGCTGTAATAATGGTTACGCGTTCCATAATAGCATTCCCACGTGTGTCCGTGAGAGAATTGTTTATAATAAACCGCTTTCTCTTTGTGTTTCAGGTAAATTCATATTGGATTACAATCTACTTTCTATGAATCGGACTTGGATCAGTTTTGGGTAATATGCTATCAATCGTTGGCTCGTTCGTTGAATCGTCGAATCATTCACTCGTGTGAATTTATGTTATTGTCCGAATATTCTTCGTATTGATCGTACAATAGTATTGCGAAATTCTCCAATTATTTCAGATGATATTGCAAATATATAAAATGCAGGTCTTTTAATAAAGAAGGAAACTCGTAAGAAAAGAAGCAATCGATCACACCAAATTAACTCTGAATCACTATCGCGAGAGCGTGATTAGATAACACGATCCTTGAACTTGGAACACAGTTTTTCGTGTAGCCACGAACAAAGAAGAACTGAAAGACCTGTCTCGTTGTCTCTTTCTCTTTAAACATCGATTGGATATCGTGATCGGGAACGAGGCTGATTATTCCGATGCAAATCGTCGGAAATTATTTATTCGTGGACGATGAAAGGGAGCTGTTCTGGCCGGGGAGAGGATAAGAGGCGACAGCAAATCGAGAGAAGCCGAAGCGAAGAAGGAACGGCTGAGGCAAGATTAAACCGAGTGCAAATATTTAATTAAATCTGGCGAGCGCGCATGCCTGGCAGAAGCAGTTTACGGCCACCGTCGTAATTTCTTCTCTCGGGGTTCGCAGTGAAAGTGGATGTGCCTCGATGCAATCTGCTTTCGAATTAATCGAGAGTGCGTAAAGAAAATGTTGTATCGTATCGAAACTCTATCCTCCATGTATTTCGTGCATTCCGTCGCGTTTTTGTTTACTTTTCACAGTAATCGTTCTGATACTTGAAGTCATTTTTTCTCTCGAGTACTTAAATATGTATTAACACCATGATGACTGGTTAGCTTTAAGCGTAATTTTTGTTAGTGTTCGGCTAAAAGAACATAATATCCTCTGTACAAGAAGAATGTTTAATTCAATGCAACATTCACAATCATTTGTACGTTTTTCATTTGATTTTGGAATTAAATATATCTCCTTAAATTTGTCAGGTTATTCCTGTCTGCAGCTGCTTCGTATTATACTTCTCTTTGTTCATCAAGTCAAGTCAAGTATAGTTTCTATTATGCTTATAGAATGTTCAGTAACTTTATCTTTATTTTATAACTTATTTTCGTATGGTATGCTGCAAATCATTTTCCTAAATTTGTAAGAGATCGTTACTAAATTTAGTAACAATAATTATACGGTAATACCTAGTTGACATCCATCCGACGCCGATTGTGATAGCATCAAGGAAGATGAAAAAGGAATGGTGATATTCTATGCGTCTGGAAATATTCTGCTTGGTGATGACGCCCGAGAGTAGACTTCTGTGCGAGATCCGAGCATGGTCCGCTTGATTCGAGTAGAACTCGCGAGGATCTTCTGACGTGTAGACGCTCTTGACGTAGTCTGGCAGACAATAGCCGGAGTGGCGGTAAACTTTTCAAGAGAATCACTGTGTGGCTGGAAGTTCGGTTCACGGGATGAGACTTCCCCGACGACGTTGTACAGGGAAGAAATCGTCGCGTTTAAATCGTGCGCGGACGTCTGCCTGGGTCACGCAATTTGAAAGTTAGATTGCTTAAAGCGGCGTTTGACGCTAGTCAAAAGAGCACAGTCCTCTACCTTCTATCGTGTCCCGTTGAAATTTAATCAACGAGGAATCCGTTCTTGTCGATCAATCATCGATCTTATCGATCCTTCGATTACCAGCCCACCGAAGGTTCAAATATCAACCAGATTAACCATCGTCGAAATTAACGGAATATCGATTTAGAATGAATAACGCTCGAGTAATACCATATATTTTACCAAGTTCATCGATCGCAAAGGGAACTGTGGCAGGAACCGCGGGGAAATACGTACCTCCTTAATCCCCCGCCAGGATTCTAATATCCATTAGTCCACCTGACGTCCAGCTAATCCATCTCACGGTCGTTTTCTCGATTTGCATAGCTTCCTGGCTTTCTTCCGCGGCAGTGCTCGTTCGTCTCGCTAGGAGAAAACTGCGGTTCGGTCGTATATCACGGCTTCGCTGCCTGGTTACTCCTAACACGTTTAACTGGTGTAAGATGCCAACGATAACCGACGCTAGCATAATTTGAGAGGTGTGTATTGAGTATCAAAAACGAGCATCTCCTCGTTAGGCGCTTATTTCGTTTAGACTCTCCGATTTCCATGTCATTTCTACGCGTTTTAGATGCTAATGCAAAGGAAACATTTATTAAATGGACTGTTAATATCCGGTGCAATAAATTATCGTGGCAGTCGTGTTAAATGTTACTGATATTTCTAAAATCTAGTTTTTCTATCGAACTGAAGCAGAAATTGAATATACTGAGCAGAGTGTTCAAGTATTGATAAATAGTGGTGTTTACTGTTACAATAGAATAGATAATCATCAGCAATGTGTAATTTGTCTGAATTACGACAATGAAAGATTCGTATGTGCTGTTGAAAACTAACCGCTCTGAAGTACGAACATAAATTAATGATTTCGTTAAGTCAGACTACGTCTCAGCTCCTTTTTCACTTACTTACAAGATCTAAAGACAACTGCGTCGATGGATACAAAGATTAACTTGGATCGTACAGTAGCCAGGAAATGATCCTGCATAAGTAATTCGCCGTGTTGAGAGGCCAATTAACGTATTTCAACAATTGCATGTATGGATTAATCCATCTGTTCCAAGAATTATTTATATAGAAAATCCGTAGCCATAAATTATCGCGTATCGGAGTCGCTCAGTTAGGAAAGTTGTCTCAACATTGTGTCCAAACATTTTCTATTATTCCTCGAAACTTGTCCTGGGAGATATTACGTAGCTGAATCCAGGCAGGAAGAAGACGAAAATCGAGAAATCTTAGACGGTCGATGACTCCCTCCGGAACGCTCGAGGCACTCATATTTGTCGGTGATTCGAGCGATCGGATTCTCCTCTTTTGTTGCTTCTCCTCTTTTCTCTCCTTGTGCCCTCCTCCTCCTTCTGTTTCGATCTGTTTGCCACGATTCTATTCGCCTGGCGCTCGAAATTTCGCATGCTCAGCAGCCTTGAGGAGAGGAACGGATGAAAATCAAGGCGGAAAAAAGGAAATGTGGAAGAAGAAAATGGAATTGTTTCGAACGATGAGGTACCGGGAAGACTTGAAATAAGTGGATTCGCTAGGACTCCTGAGACCCGAAACAGATTGTCTAAACTGACAGAAAAAATTGATCCGTCTTCATCGCGGTCACGTTTCAATATTAATCTTCCTTCTTTTTAACCTTCTTTTGCGGCGACGTCGTTGATTGATTTAATCTGTGCTTCTTCGAGGAACTAGGGCGTATGTTTCAATAATTATCATCTCAAGCTTATAATCTGAATGATTTGGTTACTTAAAACGTCGTTTGAGTAAAAGATCTTGTCAGTTTAGAGCATTGTCTTTTTTATAAGAGAAAAATGCTTTTGTGTCTTGAATACAAAGCAATAATTAAAATCTGCACAAAATTCCAATGTGCTATGACTATCAGTTTATAAATTATATATCTGTATCATTGTTATTCTATAACTGTTAGTTTCATCAAATATGGTCTAATAAGCGTCTCTTCCGTGCACAGACAGTGACTTTGGTCTGACTTTGTCATCCGTTTCTATTCACAAGCGGTCGCACCTCTTTTGTTCAAGATGTCTTTAGCCTGGCCACGTCGTTCATTTCTACTTACATAGCTGCGTCTTCAACACGCCGCATTTTCGATTATAAAAAATTTATTTTCGAACGTTATGTATAAAGAAAACAATATGCTGTTTTGTTGTCCATACATAAATCAAAATCCGAATTTAATGATAAAGCTTTTTTATATACGATTCATTATAAATTACTTTTCTATTGGGTAGAACAAGTAAAACAGCATTTATGTGGTTCTCCATTCTAGTAATCATCTTCCAAGAAAATCTGGAACCACCGGTCGATCATCTACCAAGAAATAGTCGGAAGCTAGCATTAAGACAACAAAATCTCACTTGAAGCAATCGCCGAAACAAAGATATTCGCATAGGAGTTGATCAAACACAATGAGACACGCTCTGTATAAACGATAAACTTCATATCCAAATACAACCTCCTCCTATGTCGCTAAACAGACATACCAACTCCTTGTCTTCCTCCTCTGTTCCATTCCCCAAATACAATTTGAGCGAGCTTCCCTCTCTGAGTCACCTAGACAAACCGTCCCAACCAGGACCGAATTGGAGACGCGACTATGAGGCCGATTACTCAGTGTGTGTGAAAACCGGGAAAATGGAAGGAAACGAGGAAGCATCTGGTTGCACGGGACCAACAGGCAATGCATAAAGTAAAATAGTACGCGCAACAGGGCAAGACACGCACGGCGCCGCGTCCCTAAGTGGGCGAGGCATTGTTCCGCTCGGCCTTGAATCTAATTATTCCGCTGAAAACGGCTTTTCCACCGAGTCGCGGGATCCGTTGTGTTCCGCGCACTTTCGTTTCTGCATAGTCAGGACGCTCTTTTGTTTCTAACGCTCACAGTGGATGATCTGTTCGAATCGAGTTCTCCAAGTTTTTCGACTTCTGAAATGTGGAATATGATAGAGGTGCACTTTTACATTCGGGGGACGAAAATTGCATATAAAAGTAGAGTAAAGAAACTCGATAGGTTTCGTGAAATATAAGAATTATACAAGTAGAGAAGTGGAATTTGGGAATTTTAGTTTTTTTTTTTTTGCGGTTCTAAAGGATTTCATAGAGTTTCAGGGAAAAGGTATATCCAGAGTTTTGTAGATTTCGAGGATCTCAAGAATCACAATAGGAGTGTGTAGAGATTACGAAGAATTTCGCGGAAATTCCTATGAATCCTGATACCTTTCGATAAACTTGGATTTCCAGACCGCCGTATTGAAAACCTATACTTAGAACTCGAACGATTTTTTAAATTCTTTAGACATACCTTGTTATATTTGCAATCCTGTAGATCGTGTAAGCTGTAGTAATTCTCCCAATCCCTTAGAATTCGCAAAACCTAAACGTTTTTAACCCATTTGCAAGATTATTGAACTTTCTTAAGAATCTTCTAACATTCCTAAAAACGCATTAACATATTTTTCTTTGAAATTCTTGTAATATCGCAGCCCTTAAAATAAGGCATTGCAATTCATATGGTAATTCGGGTTTCATGTTGGCCGCATTTCCAATGTCCGACCCTCGAACGCCCAATGATAAGGAACATGACGGACGTTGATAACAGGCATCGTTTTACGTACGATTTACGCGTGGCTCCACCGTCCGTTTTATGATGCTCGGTCAGTCACGCTGCAAACCAGTCCTAGCCTTGTCGCTACAATGAGTTTCCCCCCTTTTTACCAGTAGCGCATTTATCAAGCGTTCTTTGAGAATCATTCTCCGCCACGCGGACTACAGGACCTCGTTATTTTCCCCGATTATTTCCTCGGCGAACCATACTTCCAGCCAAGTTCGTTACTTCCGCAATTGTCCTAACGCAAATAGAAATACAGATAACGATACTATTACTAAATCAGATTTCTTGCTTTGTAATTTAAGAAGATATTGAAAATTCAAATCCTTCGTGAAACAGTAATGTTACGTCCCGTGATCCTACTACAAACTATAATTCATCTCTCGGGCAATATGGCCACCATCTGTATGTACTTATTCGGACCCGCAATAATCCTAAGGAACCGTTATAAGATTTAGCATTTTTTACTTTACTGTTAAAGCCCTTATTACTACAAACATCTTTCAAGTTGAAACGTTTCTTGGGGTAATAACCCTATGGATTAGTTCAATAGTGTAATAATAATATTCAATAGTGTAATTCAATGGATTAGAACAATAGTTCATTCTGATAAAACACGGGAAAAGCGGCTTTTTGCTATGTACAATATTCAAAGGCCATTTCTACCCTCGAGCAACCGTTGGTGGGACCACCCATCACTAGTTCCTTATAATTGTCACCGTCACAGAAGACACTTCACTTGCTCAAGCAGGAAATACCTTAATGAATCTGTATAAATATTCTCGAGTTGTTTCGTCAATTGACGACCATTATCCCTTCCATTACTCTCAGCTTGCAGGCCACTGAGCCTTGTTTTCCTAACTGGTCGCGAATTCTCAGATGTATGATGCGTTGCTTTCGACTAATAATATAATATATAAAAGTAAGGAAATATAAATATAACGCGTCTGCCCGCAAAGCGGTCGAACAAGTAAATATGATTCTTAATTTCAATTTTGAAAATGATACTAAAAATCCTTTTGACTATTCAGTATAAGTATTACTCAACCGTAAAATATAAAATATTGTTGTTCACTATGATGTGAATATTCGTACGTCAGAATAGGTATAGTTTAGAGTATATTGTAATCTGCAAGAATTTTCGAATTCTATAGCATTTTAAGAAATTAAAGTCACAGAAGACAATTAAACATTCAATCCCTTTACACTAAGGAGCAGGGTAAGAAGTCATAATATATTGTTACAGCGATCTTAATTTAGATTTTAAAAATAAATAAGATATAATACTCGGAATAATCGAACTAAAAGGAAATATAATGAACTGTTTACGTTTAAAAACCCGCGCAGTAGATGCTAGTAAATTAACCTCATAAATTCTTTAAATGAAAATCCTTTTAAAAATTTCGTTAAATAATATTAAGTTAAATTGGAAATCACACGATCCCAAGGGAGAAGGTCGATTTGTCGCGTTGTTTACCTCAAACAATCAGCGAAAACAGCGATCGTTCTCAAAGGCATGAATATCCTGGAAAATCGGTGGTAAATTACCGCCAAGCAAGAACGTCGTGCATTTAATAAGTAAATCCGTGGGGTTCATGAAGAATTCATGAAGGAGTCGTTGCGCCACAGAACGACGACGACTTGCGAACGCGCGAGGACGACGTTTTTCCACGTGCAAGTCGTGCGAGGATGGATCGTATCCCGAATCGTTTCGTGAATCGTCGATTCAAACTTTTGCGAAAATTTCGCCGTGTCGTAATTCTTCGCGCGATTGCGTTTATTTGTCCGTCCGTAATAACCGTAAATTTTCCTTTATTCTTTGAAAAGACAGACAGACAGAGAGAGAGAGGGAGAGAGAGGGAGAGAGAGGAAGTCGGGAGATCTCCATAACGGAGACTTTGCGCAGTCAGCAGCGACCGAACGAACCATCGGTTTCGACGCAATTCGGGCATGCGAAATGCAAGCTCTTAAGTAATAGTACGTCCGCCCTGGAATTTATTATCGACTTATCTACGCTTGTGGAGGGTCACAATATTTTCCGGTTCAAATGACTCCGAGAGTTGCTTTTGTTCGAGTGTATGTTGAAACGCTTCATTCCGGACGATTAAAAGTTACACTGACTCGTGAAACTATTTGGATACTTTCACAGGAACTTTCATATCCATATTGTATGTGTGGTATAGAACATTTTGGGATTTCATTGGTATGTATATGGAAATTGCATAATATTTTTATTGTATTAGGTTGTTCCAGAAGCTTGTTTCGTTTTATAAGATATAATAATAGATGCACAACATCTTTTGTTTTATATTAGTTTATTATAATAAATATATATTTGAAAAAAATTAGTACATAGCATAAAGAGTCGTCTTAAGCATATAATAAATGTTAGATACGGCCTCATTCACTGTTAACGCTTTTTAACATAATGGATATTTGAATGTTTGTAATCTTTACAAAATATATACTTGCTCTAAATATTTTCCAACTTCTATGTATAATTTCAGACATATTTTAAATTTTGCCAACATAACCGTAATTGTTGAATCTCATAATAGAACGAGTCAAATTTCAAAATATTTCGTATAACACACGTGGTGTATTCATAAAAAATGTGGACAAGTGTTTGAATATTTAGGTTTTCATATTTTCGAGATTGCATGTTGATGAAGGGTAAACAATAAATACGAAGAGATCGATAAACGTGGTCTTCCAATTACGAAAGGATTCGAAGAGATTGTGATGAGAAAATAGTAAATGGAGATCCTGAAGAGATACACGAGTTCGTATCAAACCGTAATATTTAATTTGAGACGGTGATGCTAACTCGTTGCTCTTTACACTCGCTTTTCATTCTTGCTCTTTTATATTCCGACTCCGCGCTCCCTCTCGTTGACCCCTCTGAGGCTTCTCATTATCTCACTACGAAATTGCACCGACGTAAGTAAACGTATACTCTCTCGTAATCCAAAACTCCACATCGGTTTTCCGCATACAACCGTGTCACTCTTTTTCCTTCATTTTATCCGACACACGCGACGAGCTTCGCCGGCATTCATAATATCGCCACATTCATGTTTCAAGAACTTTTGAAACAACGTCGTGTATTTACGAAGAAGGAGCGCTATCAAAATCAAAATTCGGATGCGTCGCTTGTTAAAAAATAGACTGCTTCCAGAAAAGTTGTAATTAACAGTACGAGTAAGCTATAAAACGTGTGTCAAAGGAATCAAAATGAAAGATGTATGAAAAAATATATAATGCAAAGAGGAGAATGAACCATTCTCTATCCATTCTTAAATCTATCAAAATACATCGCTGTTAATTTATAAAATTTCTATGAATAATTATGTGTCGGTTGCTTTGTCTGTCCTGGTATTTTTAGTTTTAAAACTTGTACCTCTTGTGGACAAGAAATTACATCAGTTTTTATATTGAATGGCACGAATAATATATAAAATAACAACAACAACAAGAACACCATTTAAAGAGTAACAACTGAATGAACTGCGAATACGGGAACGAATGGAACAGAGCAATCAGCTCTGAACGATATCAAAAATTAGTGAAATATCACAGTGTTGTTAAAGGTGTACGAAACGATGATTGGCCGAGCATTTAAACAGAAAAATCATACAGCAACATAAAAGAAAGTCACGGAACATCGTCCCTGTTCTGCATTGTCGCGTCGTATTAAGTAACCTCGCGGAAAGATTTACTCACGGCGTGGGCGAGCAACTTTAAAGGCGAGAAGTTAGCGTAGTTAGGAGTTTTCATTACGATATCACCGGCGCGGTACTCGTGCGGCCGCCGGAAGCGCTGTGTAATTTTGGCTCCGCGTTCTTCCGCTAACATTTCTATCCAGCAGCCGCTTTTCCAAGTTTTGCTCTCCGTGATGTTCCTGCGTTCCGTTTTAATTCCATCTAGACGACCTCGTCCTTTTCTCTCTCTTTATTTCTCTTTCTTCGCCCTCGCGTTTGCCATTATTTTGAATCTTTTCACGTGAAGACGAAGAAACGTTTGTGCGCGGAAAATTTGCGAGTTTGACGGATTAACACGTACAATCTTCAATATCTATATTTAAATTTTGTACAGTCGCTTACGCAAGCCGTTCATTTATCGCAAGTTACAACTTGTCTCGTCGTTTGGTTTTACCGTTCACCATCAGCCTTTCAACACAATGTTTGAATGAGAGATACTGGGGTTGAAGTGGTTCGGCGATTATAAATGAGACGGATTTATGGAGGAACTTGAGTTGCTATTCTCTGTGAAAGAGGTTTGTTTTAGTGGTCTGTTTATTGTTTCTTCCTCTTTGTTTTTATTTCAAAACTGGTTCGAATTTATGATTGAATTTAATGCGATGAAGATAAGACATACTATTAAGCAATCATTTAGACGTTGCTTGAAAACTAGTTATCCAGTTTTTTCCATTTTCAATTAATCGCATATATCTGGATAGAAGATTCCCGTTGAAAATCTTGAAAATTGTGTTGCTTCTATGTTCCTATATCATAATTATGTATCAACTCTATAAACTGGCTCAACAATGTCAATGAAATATATATAATTGTAAACATCAGATCCTGAAAAATTTACTTGTTGCCATATATCTTAAGTATTAAATTCTCAAACTGAACGGAAGCAACTTTACATTTTCGTCCTCAGAACTTCGACTTACTTGTCTCAAACAACAGAAAAAAAGGTAAAATGTTGCATTTCTTCCAACACACTAACGATACATACTCACCAACATAATACAAAAGAATGTCTTTTTTCTTGGTAGTATCGTCGTCCAGGATTTCACGAATTTTTCCAAACATATCACATTCGAGGCATCAATCCGTGTCGTCAAATTAACATTCGGAATTTCTGCGAGCGATATTTTTACGGTCGAAGGCTGCGGTTACGCCATTATATTATACGCCCCTTCAATTTTCCCGGTTAAAACCCTGACAAAATAGAACGAACACGGGGTCGTTTGTTTGTTCGCAAACAAACGTTTCCTTCACCCTGTTTTCTGTTTTCGGCCCGTCAAATTAATTCGACGTCGTTTAAACGTCGTGACTGCCGCGAGATATCTTCGGGAAAAAACTACCGCCCATCGGACCGCGAGTTTGCCGGCGAATCAAGAGAATGTTAACGAGCTCCGGTTTTCTCTCTTCCGTCTCTCAGTATTTACTTCGTTCGTTTCTGCCATGTCACGTCTCGTTTTATTGAGACATTGTATTGTACCGGAATGATCAAATCATTCGTTCGAATGTCATACAAACCTACAATTTCTACCATCTAGAAATTATGGATTTGTAATGTGCATTAAAATGTACTATAGATAGAAGACTAGAATTGAAATGTTTCGACAATAAATAGATATCTGTAATCATCATCCCTATTTTAATAAACGCTGAAGTTAATTTTATGAAAGGCCTTTCAGTTTGATGGGTTTGATAGTCGATTTGATAGTGCAACGTTTCAACTTCTATTGATGCGTCGTTCCAATTATCTAAGAATCTAAGATCGTGTTTGTAACCGAGGCTTGCTCTTCTTCTTATATTTTGATACAATCTTTTGGAAACCCAAAAAGAAGCAACGAACAGTATGTTAGGAGAAAAGTTATCGCTTAAAATAAAAAAAAAATCAAATTTAAAGAATGTGTAATTCTAGAAATGGGATAGAAATACTTTAATAACAATAAATATATTAAACAATAAATAGTCATCGATAGTTGTCGACAAAATGTCGTTAAGAAATAATCTTATTTTTTCTCGTAGGCACAAAAATAAAACCAAGAAGCTATAGAAAAACGGTGAAAGGAACATTTCTACGATTTTCACGTTTCCCTTTCGCGAAATAGTAATTTGATTCTCGTCTGTCTCGATCTTCGTGCAGCGTGCTGCCGCAGCAGGTGATTTAAACCGCAATTCGAATCTCCCGGAGGCCATTCCCGGGCAGGATACTTGGCCAAGAGAGGATAGATAGCGAATGGTGCGCGGTCCCTTATAATATAATTGATTCATTGTGATTCACCGTGCACACGCCACGCCATGGACTCCATCCATCGTCGAATATAAATTCGCCCCGATACCACGAAGTCAGCGATTAATTTGCCTTTGCCGCTCTGATTCCCTGGTATTTCCACGCGGCGCGGCATTCCCTGTTCCATACATGCACGCAGGATTACGCGTACAGAAAACCGGCCCGAGAGCTGGGAAAGTCTGGAGAGAGCGTAAAAGGGAGCGTAACCGAGAGAAAAATGGTCGAGCTCTCTCTCTCTCTCTCTCTCTCTTTCTTTCTCTTTTAACCTCTGTTGACGTCCATAAGCAGTCATGGACGTTTTCTCGTCCCCTTCGGGACTCGTGATTCTGTGTCCTCCTGCTGGATTTTGGTCACTGAAATTTTATCAAGCTCCTCGCCACAGCAATGGAACACGATGGAGAAAGAAATAACCTCACTCTTTAGCACAGCCGACCTTTACCCTTTGTCTCTCTCTCTCTCTCGTGTTAATTAAAATGTCAAATATATCGTTGTCAAATGGCGTTCGAACTATTGACGTGCCGCACTGACCTCCTGTAGCATTCGTTCTCGTGATTTTCTAATTGTACTTTGTTCTACGCTGTTCTTTTTGGAATTCATTGAATTCTTGGAATTTCTCAATTATTAAAGATCTTCTACTACAGTCGATTAGCCAAGTTACTATCGCGAAATTGTTAGTTGACGAGGAGCTCCTCTGCGACTGATTGCGCATAATACTTCGAGCTTTTTAAATATTGTTAAAGAATTTTTGCAATTGTTCGGGTAACTATTGCGAAATTGTCGATAGGCAAGCGGAAAAAAATTGTGCAAAAGTAACGAGCAAATTAGAAAATAGAGAAAGATGAGAAACGGTAAAGTGACTTATAATTATAGTTCTGATCAAAATAAATGTAGCCGTATCAACGGTGCCGATGCAATATTTCAACTGAGAAGCCGCGAGCGATCGAACCGCGTGCACTCGCTGGCCGAATTTATGCGAAAAAAAGCAGAAATCGACAAGGAGAGCGAGAGCAACAAGTAACGTATAAAAAGTAGCAGATAGAGTGAAGCGATTTACGGTAAACTCGCGAGTGCGACAATTTATCACGCCGACAGGCTCAAGATAATCTCCGATGAACCTGTTACGCTACAAATTAAATTAAAAATGATTAGAGCTCGCATCCTCTCTCCGCTCTGCCGCATTCTCTGACCACGAGGCAAGCGTTCATCGTCTGCTACTATCACGGAGGAGCTGATTGTTTAAAGAGGTTCCTCAAAATCGATTAGTGTTTCAATGTCCACCGATTTTATTGCGTTTGCCTTTCGCACACTATTTTCACCTTGATTATATTTACTTTCATTTTTCGAATGTTAGATAGAAATATGAAGCCCGATCAAAAAATACCCGGATCACTCCTTTTTTTACTTATGAAATTTATTGTTCTACATTGTAATAATTACCTCCAAGAGAGTTTTGTTCAATGTTTATATATTGTTAACAGCAACTTTTCTATTTCTAGGGAACTACTCCTTATGAAGATTACTAAAAATTGATTATCTCCGTATTTTCTGTTATTTATTCGATATTATAATTCGCTAGCCTGAATTTGATTTCTGATTGCACCGATTCATTTGAGTAATAATTCATGCAAATTGCGAAGGAAATTAACAAATGAGAAATTCGAAGCGTTTCAAAACGTAGTCGAAGAACAAAAAGTATCTATTATAGGACTTACGTACTTAATTAGGTCCAAGTACATATATTAAATTTCGCATTATTTTCTAGTATATAATTATATTAATTTGATACTGTGAATATGAAGTGTACAACTTGATCAATAAATTACTGGGTAAGTACTATATGCAAATACTTTCTGTAGCCACGATACACGAAAAGAGTTAGAAGAATTTATTTACACAAAAAGAGAATATTCACAATGCTATTAAAACTTCGTAATTTCTCGTGCTAAATTTCGCTTCCACTTCTATTAATCTACTATCTATACTATCTATGCTATAAACTTCGTGTTCCAAACTTGCTCTTCGTGGTATAATTTCTCAAGACGAATCGACAGGAGCTGACGCGTGTTGGAAAAACCGCGAACGAGCGAATCGACAAAGGTCAGCGAGACGGTTGCGTCGCTCCGAAATAATCCCGCCGCTCTCATTACCAGCGTCGTTAATCTCCGCCTCGAGCAGCGGGGAACGAGCCAATTAATCTTGCCCGGCAAGAGCGGCGAGTGCTTGTAAGCAAGCAGAACGCCACGGATGAATAATTAAATCTGTCCCCGGGCCCGATCGCGTCTTTCGAAAGCTTTCGTCGCGCCGTTTCTCCGGGAGAACCAACGACTACCGATCGTTCCTGCACGAGAAACAGGAAGAAGGAAGAGTCGTACCAACCGCTGTGCTTCTTGCCTCGATCATTCTGAACACGGTGTACCGTTATGAACAAGGGAAATCGAGAACCGGACACGATAGAGCGTTCACGAGGGAACGTGCTCCGAGATGGTCGGATAAAAAACGACGACAATAAAGGCTTTATTAATGACCGCAATATCGATAATTATGGGTATGGATATTAAGATCATGGCGAAAAGCTCTATCTCCTCTGCTGATGTTTTTAGTGTAAAGTGATCACTTGTCGATGTTAAATATATAGTGTTAATTAGTGTTTGATTCTTGATCACAAAGATTGTATCAGAGAGTATATTTGAAATTGTTTGTGAAGTAATATGTTCTGAAGTTTATGATCAATGCTAATAATTTTGCTATAAATGTTTTGTAGTGGAAAATAATTGTATGAAAATTTCATTCACAATTCATTCCTTTCTTCAAATTTTTTAGAAGAGAATGCAAGAGCTACAGTTTAGTAGAAACTTTATATATTAATAAATTTTACCATTTTGTTCACAAAAATACTTTATTGTAGAATTAACCAAACACTTTTCAAGTTATTCACGATTAAAGTTTCATTTTAAATAATGTTTGTTAGTAATACATGGCGTACGATTATAACGATTTGGTCACCGACGCGTTACGACATTCCAATAATTTCAATAGAGATGTATATCTCTGTTTACTGTAATACATGGACATCGTTACTGAATCACCACGTATAAAACAGATTCTAAGTGCAGTCAAGTCGAGACTTTAAATCTTCCAGTACTAGATCAATCTTTCTTTCCACTCTACGTTATCTTCTAAAAAGATAGTGATTTATCGACGACGAAAGACCAAGAAGCTCGTAGTAAGCAAGAAAGAGCTCCTTTTCTTGTTTCTTCCTCCCTTTCAACGTCGAACAGACGTTCGACTTTGATATCGAAGAAGCATCATCGTTCACAGGCGATCTTCCGTCGAAACAAAAATAACATTGGCCGTGTGTTGCTTTCACCGTGATACGAATAACCGCGTGGGCGATGACTCGCCGCTTGGAATTTATTCGCGCGGATACGCAGCTCGACGCTTGACCTACTTCTCGACGCGGTTTTTCAAATCACTCGTACATGAAATCATGGGAAAACAGCAAAGCCGCTTGCAGATTTCAAAGATAAAAAGAAGTTTCCTGTGTCGGTGGTGTAACGTTACTTGTTTCTCATCCCCTTGACACTGCCGTTGTTTCTTCTTCAAGTATCAAGCCGGAGAATTTTCAAGTTGTGAAACGGGTCAAGGCCGAGAAGTACTTTTCACCGGGTCCGTACGAGGTCTGCGCGACATTAGACATGGAGGTTCTTTGTAAGACGAATTTACGTGAAGAGAAAGAAGTGTATTTTCCACGACATAACATCTTTTGCACATTAACGTCGATGTAAAAGCAGTTTTATGCAAAAAGAGCTTTCGGGATACATTCGTCGTACTTTCACTGGTCTGTCATACGTAATCTCCCATTGGTATACTAATCGGGTTAGTAGAAAAATCTCAATATACTAGAAACCATTAAAAAAGAGAAAAACAGAAAAAGTTTGGCAGTACGTTTAGATGAACTTCACTCCGCGTTATCGGAGAGAGCAACCACAATATTCAAAGGTTAAATTACTAAAATCATTAGAATATTCAAAATAACCAAACTCTCTAGAAATTTTCTACGATTTACAATGGAATATCTTTTAAAATCCTCGTAATTTTTTGTTGTCTTTTGGTCGCTTTTTCCGTACATTATTTATCCTTTCATAACTTCGTACAAATTTTAAACTTTACTAGTCGGTAATTCCAGCCAACAGGAAACGATGTACCGCGAATGAGCACTACCGTCGATCCATCGACAGAAAGAGCAGCGTGTAGCGGCGTTAGACCATCCGCGTCTAAATTCTGGCTCTCTAGGGTCGCGCGCAATTGGGTTGGAAGGTTTTACATGCAATTTGCTGGTGTGGAAGCACCTGCTGAAACGGCTTTAAACGGCAAACAAACGGGCGACGGGAGAGCGGTTCGCGTAAAACTTCCTTTTATGGAGGTCACGTTCTGTTCGCGTGCACGCACACGCAGCCGTATAAGGAGCTTTTTCGAAGGCCTTGCGAACCCCGGAATCAAACAGCAACACGACTCGTCGCCTTTTTGATGCTTTCGCGGGGGTCATTTAATTACGTACCAGTCGCGTTGCAGTTTTCATTCTTAATTTTTCTTTTTCTTTTACTCCTCTTCCTTTTGCACTCTTCTCTTTGTTTGTTTTCCTCTGATGTTCTTATATCTTTCCTTCTTTAAAAAGGTTTATTCCTTTCTTTCATTAAAGCTATTTCGTTCAGAGAGAATGGAAGCTGATCCCTTTTGCAAGAACAGCGGGTGTATTTTCCTGAATCAATGCAAAACCGAGGCTGCTTTTTTCTCGAAGAAAAAGGCTTATTAGTATCCGAGCCACACGTGTGGTACACGTGTACTCCGCTTGGCACGTTCTCTAACCATGTTAAGCAACGAGATTTTCAACCTTCTCGCGATTTCCTTGCCTCCCGTGGTGAAATGGCCCTCCATTTCGTCCTCTAGTTACGGAATCTTCTCTGTTCCGTAATTTCACCAGTGAAACGAAACCAGCGTGGAGGATTTCGAGCGTGCAAATGTAGCTCGAGAGGCAGAATCAGGATACGATCAACGAAGCACAATTTTAAATGCGATTAACAGATCCGAAACGATTCGAAATGACTTGTTATGTAACCCGTGCTCGTTGTATTATCGCGATATTATTGTCACGTTACTGGAGATGATAGAATTGTAAAATGTCGCATCTGTGTAGAATAAAAATCAACTAAACGATTTGATTGTTCGGTGGAATAGTGGGGATTCGTGTCCAATAAATATATCGACGCTGTTGCATCTCTAAATTGCCAGTAAAAGACGAAAGCTTTTATCACGCTTGCATATTACATTATGCTTTGTTTGGAATAATTAGAGGATCATAATTATAAATGATTCTATTACACTAATGAAATCGAACGAAAGAGATGAAGTCGTATAGGTTTGATAGACTGGCATGTTGTTCGTATGATTCTGTGATAAAGATCGTTGTTACGACCGTTCGCGGAGAGACGCTGTCGCGAGGAAAACGCGTCAGCGAGAGGCATAAATTCTCGCTACGATTCGTTGAATCGACGCCGCGAAGTAGTCGTTCCCCTGTTTCGGTTAAGATAACAGAGGTGGTTGAATGAATACGACACAGTAGTAAGTTATATTTCACCGTTTATTCCACTAACTTATAACGTAGGTAATTAC